CAAAGACAGCTTCTTTGATGTGTATTGCACATATTTCTCATAATTTGTGGAGATAAGTCTATAGCTGGAAAGAGAAATCTGACAGGTTTTTAAAAAATTAATATACATTTACCTTATGATTCAGCAATTTTACTAGTTATTTACCAAAAAAAGGAACAGATTTACCTTAAAATACGTCCTCAAGAACTTTTATAGAAAATGGAAATTTGTCGGAGCCATCTGGCGCATGTGCCGTGTTGCGTATTCATGCCATGAGTTAAGTTTCGCTTTACCATTTCGCTTTTGGAGAACCACAGGTTTTTCCGGTAAATCACATGAGACTGTGAGGTATGGGGGGAGGAGCTACCAGGATATAAGAGGAGAACCCGGGAGAAAGAGGGGGAGAAGAAAAGAGTTTTAAGAAGAGAACCACGAGAGAGGAGAGTGCTGCGAGAGGAGCAGAGAGAAGGCCAGGGAAGTAAGAAAGACAGGGAAAAGAAAGACATGGAAAAGTAAGAGAAGGAAAAGGAAAAATAAAGAAGCATATGCTAGCATCAAGTTCTCTCAAGCCCCTCATTTCATCCTCAGCCCCTCTCTTTTCGTGCCTACGAATCCGGTGTGTCGGGACAGGTGGCGCCCAACGTGGGGCATGAAAAAGAACGAAGGAACTAGTGAAGGACCAGCTATGGTGAGCCGGCAAGTAAGGTAGGTAGCTGGGAATCATGGGCAATTCAATGTCCAAGGGGCGATTAGTTATTTCCCTGGAAGCTCTCCTAAAAAAAATTGGGGTTCCTTTTAATAAGAAAAGTTCTTAAAAGATTTGTAGAGACCCTTAGTATCACTAATAAGTGGTTTCTGGAGCAGGATCAGGTCAATAGTGCCAATTGGAATAAGGCAATAGGAGATAGAGGAGGAGCTGACATACAATTAACAAAGGTCATTCAAGGGCCGACAGAACCTATTGCGGAGTTCCTAGCAAAATTGATGACTGCAGCTAGCCGAATTCTAGGTAACACTGATGCCTCCCCACGAATAGTTAAACAGCTTGTATTTTGAAAATGCTAATAAGTGGTGTTAGGAAGCTATTAGACCCTGGAAAGTTCGGGCTAGTTTGTATGATTATATGAGACTTTGTTAGGATATTTGTGTATATAATAATCGTTCATGTCTGGACTGGTGCCCTTTTGCCCTGGTGGGCCAGGGTGAGGTGAAATTATATAACGGCACTTAGTCTGCAAACAGTACCTTTGAACAATCCGTAAGTGTCCAGAATAATGGGTCGGAGAGTTTGTCTGCTGCTGTCTGTTTGCCCCCTCCCTTCTTTCTTATCCTCTCCAATAATGCAGGAAATGCCACTGCGCCCTCTCTGCCTGCTGGGCCCGGAGTGCAGAGAGGGTGGTGATCGTTCGTCTACCTTCTATTTTAATCATGTCCATGGATGTTTCTGCACATCTTTCCCCTCTTCTACTTAGGAGGTGACGTGATTTTGGCATCACTGCAGCTATTGTTGCCATATCAATAGCGGTGGCTGCGGCTGTGGCTGCTGCCGCAGTTGCTGTCACTCAAGCTGCTGCAAGTGCTGACACTATAAACAATTTAGCTGCCAGTGTTGCTTCTGCATTATCAACACAGCAAGATATGAATGGACATTTACAAAATGAACTTTTTATGCTTAATCAGCAGATAGCTCTAATGTAAGAAGGGATAGACACACTTTTGTTAACTGCTCGCATACCTTGTAATCCTCTGTACCGTTTTATTTGTGTTACCCCTGTTACACAAATGAGGGTGAGGGTCTCATTGTCTGGTTTAGAGGACTCGTCTCAGAGTTGCAAGCTTGGGGAGGGGTGGTAGCCTTAGCTCTTGGCCTTTTGCTGTTTGTGCATTCAGCATATGGTTTCTCCGTCAGCTACGGAAGCGAAACAAAGAACGTGCTATTGCAGTCAGGCAAGCACTTGGCACCATGGTACTCGATCAGGACTCCCCAGTGACACCTGGATGGATCAACTTAGTCCTAGAGAACCTGTGAGCCCAAGACTGGTAAGAGCGTAGCCTGTCCAGACCAACCTAAGACAGGGGTCCGGACCAAGTGTGCCGGATTAGCGATGACGGGTAAGACTAGTCACGGGATGTGCCAACCTAAGACAGGCAAGGTGTCTCATTTAAAAGAAAAAAGGGGGAGATGTCAAGAGCCGTCTGGAGCATGCGCCGTGTTGCGTATGCATGCCATGAGTTAAGTTTCGCTTTACCATTTCGCTTTTTGAGAACCACAGGTTTTTCCGGTAAATCACATGAGATAGGGAGGTACGGGGGGAGGAGCTACAAGGATATAAGAGGAGAACCCAGGAGAGAGAGGGAGAGAAGAAAAGAGATTAAAGAGGAGAACCACGCGAGAGGAGAGTGCTGCGAGAGGAGCAGAGAGAAGGCCAGGGAAGTAAGAAAGACAGGGAAAAGAAAGACATGGAAAAGTAAGAGAAGGAAAAGGAAAAATAAAGAAGCATACGCTAGCGTCAAGTTGTCTCAGGCCCCTCATTTCATCCTCAGCCCTTCTGTTTTCGTGCCTACGAATCCCGCAGGTAGGGACAGAAATTGACAGAATAAAGATAAAACTTTTGAAGAAAAAAGTCCAAGGGAAGATGGATTCACAAATGAAATGTAGTTAAATAAAACTTTAAAAGTTGAATAACTTTTAAAGAATGAATGCCATTTTTTTCAAATTAAAAAAAAATACAAGAGGGCAGAGTTCTACTTAATATTACTTTATTATTAAAACCAGACACCACAAGAAATATATATATATATATCCTTGATAAATAACTAATGAAAACATTTTCAGAAAAATACTAGCAAATCAAATGTAAAAGTTTAACAATATGATTATACAATATGAATAAAAGACATTGAACCCAATCATGAGAGAATGCTTACATATGTAAAAATCAACTAATATAATAATATCAACAAAAGATAAAAAACACACATAATAATATATGTAGAAAAGGAATTTAGTAAGATTCACCAGTCATTTATGATAAACATTATAAGCAAGATGTATTATAAGGAATCTACATCAATGTAATAAAGATCGTATAACACAAATCAACAATAAATACAATTCTCAATGGTGAAATACATAAAAATTTCCCCATAAGATGTGTCTCAAGAAAATGAACCTTGAGTCACTACTTCTATTTTGTTTTAATATTATAAATTGTGACCAGGACCTCTCTGGTGGCACAAGGGGTTAAGTCTCAGCACTTAAAGATATCAGCAGCAACTGCAACATGAGTTCGATCCCCGGCCAGGGAGCTAGCACACATGGTGCAGCAGACCTCTCTTGTCTCTTCCACTGCTCCCCTCAGCAGTGTATTTCAATAGATCTGTCCTGCTCCCCACGCAATCTCAGGTGAATCTTCTCACGCCCCCAATACGTCTGGCCTGTACTCCAGTTCTTGTATGCATAAATAAATAAATCTTAAAAAAAAAAAAGTTGTGACCAAATATATCAGACAAACATATTAAATAAAGGAATCTAAGTGATAAATTAAAAAAAAAATTAAACCACCATTATTTGCTGATGAGAAATAATGTATAGAAAACCCTAAAGATGTCATCTAAAAGTTATTAGAAACATAAATGAAAACAGTAATATCACACTCTACAAAATTCACATATAAAAATGCATAGATTTTAATATTAGAAACGCTAACAGAAAGTAAAGGAAATTAAGAAAATAACTCCAATTATTATTGATTCAAAATGAATCGTGGGGTCCTCCCTGGTGGCATAGGGATTAAGTCTCAACGCTATCATGCTAGCAGCACTGTGGCCTTAGCTTGATCCCCCACCAGGAGCTAACTCACTTATGGTGAAGCAGACTTCTACTGTCTCACCTACACCTCAGTTCTTCTATGCATAAATGAATAAATAAATCTTAAACAAATAAAGTTTACCTCCAAATTAGTAAATGAAGAAGATAAAAGACATATCTAAGAAGTACTAAGCATTATAAAGGTCTTCAATAGAGACTATTGAAATGTCTATGGTCATAGATTGGGAGAATCAATATTATTGCAGTGGCTATCTTGCCTAAAAAGGTATATAAATTTAACACTATCTCCATCACCATTCTAGCAAGATTTTCTTTCAAATAAAATTAGCACAAAAGATTGAAATTTATAAGAGGCTACAAAATGAATCCAATTACAAAAGCAATCTGAAGAATGAAGGAGAAAAAGCAGAGAAATCATATTACCTAAGTTCAAATTTTACTATTGTTTGCTATATTAATAACCATATGCTAAAAGAATATAGTTTGATATGAAATCAAATTCATGAACCAGAGGAACATAATTGAAAGTCCAGAAATAAAATCACACATATTATAGATTTGCAAATCTATAATAAAACATCCATGACCAAAATCTGGGGAAAAAACAACCTCTTCAATAAATGGTGCTAGGAAAATTGGAAAGCCAACATAAAAGAATGCGGTTGCATTACTCACTAACACCACACCAAAAAATAAATTCCAAATGGATTAAAGATTTAGATATAAGACCTGTAACAATAAAATACATAGACTTAAACTTTAGCAACACATTCCACAATATGAACAATAAAGATATTTTTGGTGACTCAATTCCTATGGGAGGAAATAAAAAAATCAAGTTAAAGAATAAGAATTACTGGCCTCCCCAGTGGTGCAGTGGGTTGAGTGCAGCGCTGTGATGCTGTCCACAGCCTCTGCAGCACAGGTTCAAATCCCGGCTGGCCAGGGAGATTCCTACATGGTGCAGCAGACCTCTCCTGTTGCACCTGCAGCTCGCCTCAGCAGTGTATTTCAGTAGTCTGTCTGTTCTGCTCCCAGCTCTGTCTCTGGTGAACCCTTTCACCTTCCCACACCTCTGGCCTGTACGCCAGCTCTTGTGTAAAAATAAATAATAAAATCTTTATATATTAAAAAAAGAATAAGGATTATCTCAAGTTAAAAAAAAAAAAAAAAAACATAACCTTTCTACATACTTACCTGGCAGGGGAGACACCACGATCACGAAGGTGGTTTTCCCAGGTCGAGGCTTGTCCACTGCACTCCAGGTGTGCTGACCCCTGTAATTTCCCCACATGTGGGAAATTCGACTGCATAATTTGTAGTAGTGGGGACTGCGTTCTCTCTCTCTCCTGAAGAAAAAAACAATAACCTTTCTACAGAAGAAGAAAATACAATATGATTAAAATGATACCCCATTAAGTGGGAGAAATATTTACACAATCTATAACTATTAAGGTATTCATATACACTATATATGGATATATATAATTATCTGTATTAACACTATATATATATATATATATATAAACTCATAAAGTTCATACATAAACATAAACAACCAAATTAATAAATGGGCAGCAGACATGACTAGACTATTCATTAAAGAAGATATCAAAAGACCAACTGATATATGACCAACTGATAGAAGACAGAGTCACATGAAAACTGAAGTGATATATCACCTCACAGCCATGAGAAAGGCACATATCAAAATGATTCCCAACAAGCGCTGGTGACAATGAGGAGCAAAAGGAACCCTATTACATTATTGGTAGGATAGTGAATTGGGAAACAATTAAGGAAAGCATTCTGACTTTACTTAAAAGAAATAAAAATGCAAGTATCATATGACCCATCTATACAGCTCTTGAGTACATATGCACAGAATGTGAAACTAACAACAACAACAACAAAAATAAAAGGCAAAAAATCACCTATATTTTCTACAATATTTATACCAGCATTATTTAAAATAACTAGATATGGAAGCACAGAAAGTCTCCTTTAATTGACAAATGAATTGAAAAATGTTGTATGTGCATATTATGAATTATTATATAGATATATGAAAGGATGGCATGCAGACATTTCACAAAATGGAGGAAACATGAAAAAATACATGAAGAAAAACAAGTCAGAATGGTAAAAACAAATATAGAAAACACATATCACAGAAAATTTCAAAATGTGTAACACTTTTAAAATTTTATTAGACATCAAGAAGTTAGGGTGTGGGTGAAAATTACTGTTAATAAACTATCATTTGCTTCTGATTATGAGTATTTTTTATGTAATGGGATTGCCTATATCCTATTTATTATATATTATTTGAACATTATCAATATGTGCCTATATGATACACTCAAAAGTTCACTTAATCTTATGAATATAATTAAATATTTAAAATAACTGATTAGTGAGCTTTTACATTTTACATTATCTACAAACAGCACAGAAATAAATCTGGTAATGATTTAAAATTGAGCTTTTTAAATGATCCTTTCCTGACCATTTCTAAATGAACTGAAATATATAGGGAAATGTTACTTTACTTTGTATAGAGGTATATTTTTTTTATTGTGTTAGTGTCTTTATTTTTGTCATAATTGTTTTGCAACCGTTGTGGTTATATTTTATTGCCCTATTTTCTTTTACTGAATTTATTTTTAACCAAGGTAATATTGGGGTACCAAATTCACGTATCACCACCATGGAACACCCACCACCATCTCACACATAGTCCACCACCACACATTGTTGTGCTTCCCTCTTTGTTCTTTCCCCTTCTCCCCTTTCCATGCCTTGGTGCTTCAGTTCTGCAGTCAACTATCAAGGATTAGTTTTCCAGCTTCTCTTTATTTATTAATTCTGTTACTTTATGTTCCAAATATTAATGACACTATCTAGTATTTATCTTTTTCCTTCTGTCTTATTTCACTTAGCATTATGCTTTCTAGCTCCAACCATGTTGCCACATCTTTTTGATTGCTAAGTAGTAGTCCATTGAGTACATATACGCCACTTTTTCTTGATCTACTCATCCGTTCTGGTGCACTTAGATTTTTCCATAGTTTAACTATAATAGTTTCCATAGTTTAGCTACAAAAGTTTTCCCCACATCCTTGTCTGTACTTGTTTGTGTATGTCATTCTCACTGGTGTGAGATAGTTTTGATTGTATTTCTCTAACATTAAGTGATTGTGAACATATTCCATGTGCCTGCTGGACAATTTAACTGATTCTTTGGAGAAATGTCTGTATTTTTGTTTTGCCCATTTTTAAGATTTATTTATTTTTATTTATGCATATAAGAACTGGGGTATAAGCCAGTGGTGCAAGGGGTGAGAGGATTCAGCAGAGATAGAATGGGGAGCAGAACAGGCAAATCTATTGAAATACACTGCTACAGGGAGCAGCAGGTGAGACATGAGGCATCTGCTCTGCCATGTGGGTTAGCCCCTGGCCAGGGATTGAACTCATGCCTCAGCATCTGTTAATAGCTTGATAGCACTGAGACTTTAACCCCTGGACCACCAGGGAGGACCTTGTTTTGCCCATTTTTTGATTGGGCTATATGTTTTGTTTTTGTAGGGCTTTATTAATTCTTCCTATAACTTTGCTATAAGTTCTATGTCAGGTGAATGGGGTGCAAATATTGTCTCCACTCAATAGGGTGTCTTTTTATTTTAGTTATGGTTCCTTTCACTGTTCAGAAGCTTTTTAGTTTATTGTAGTCACTGCTATTTATGCTTTCTTTTGTTTTCCTTCTGTTCTGGACAAATCCCTAAATGCACCAGTAAAACTGATGTCATGAAATGTTTTGCCTATGGTTTGTTCCATTTATTTTCTGGTTTCAAGTTTTATATACAAGACTTTGATCCATTGTGAGTTGATTTTGATGTATGATGTCATCATGGTCTAGTTTCCTTCCTTTGCATGCAGCTGTCCAGTTTTCCAAACATCATTTACTGAAGAGGTAAGCATTGTTCCAATGTATGTTTTTGGATGCTTTGTCATAGATTAACTGTCCACATAAACTGTAGGTTTATTCCTAGGTTCTCAATTCTATCCCATTTGTTTGTGTGTATGTTTCTGTTCCATTATCAGGCTGTTTTAAATATCAAGGCTTTATTATATTGCTTGAAGTCTGGAAATGTGATGACTCTAATACTTTCTATATCACCTATGTCAAGACTGATTTTGCTATTCAAAGTTTTTTTTTTTTTAATTTCATATAAATTTCAGGATTTGTTCTAGTTCTTTGAAATATGCCAGTGGTATTTTTATTGGAATTGCCTTGAACCTATATATTACATTGGGTATGGTGGCCATTTTCACAATCTATGAGCAACAATATCCTATACTTTATGTGTGTGTGTGTAGATTTTTACCGCCTTTGTTGCTTACTCCTAATATTTACTTTTTAATTGTAAATGGCGTCCTTTTTATAATTTCTTTCTCTCCCATCTCATGGTTAGTGTATAGAAAGGCAACTGTCACTTTGCTAAACAGATTGTTTCAATAAGTTTTTCTGTGTAATCTTGTGGATTCTTTATGTATATCACCATGTCATTGCAAAAAATGATAAATTTACTTTGTCTTTCCAGCTTGTATTGCCTTTATATCTCTCTCTTGCCTAATTTTTCAAGCTAGAACTTCCAATAGTATGTTGAATAGCAATGGTGAAACTATACATCCTTTTCTTATACAAGATCTCAGTGGAAATCTCTCAGTTTTTCACGATTAAGAATGACATTACAGGTTGGGCCTCCCCGGTGGCGAAGCGGTTGAACGCTGGGCTGTGAAGCTGCCCGCAGCCTCTGCAGCACCGTTTGGATCCCAAGCCGCCGCCGGCAAGGGTCTCACATGTTGTGCAGATCTCTCCTGTCTCACCCGCTGCTCCCCTCAGCAGTGTATTTTGTCAGTTGCCTGTTTTGTTCCCCGCTCTGGCTCTGGTGAATTATCCCATCTTCCTGCGCTTCTGACTGTACCCAGTGCTTGCATAAATAAATAAATAAATCTTAAAAAAATACTCATTCACTATCATTTAAAAAAAAATGACATTAAAGTTACGTTTGTTGAAATGTTTTTTATTATATTAAAATAGGCTACTTTTATCCCCATTTTTTCAAGGGCTTTAATCATAACCTGAGGTTTGTTATTATCAAACAATCCCCCAGAATCTATTAATATGATTACAAGGTTTATCTTTCTATTTGTTAATGTGTTGAATTATATTATTGATTTTCAGACATTGAACCATCCTTGTTTCCCTGCTATGAATCTCACTTGATCATTTTTTTAAGAGATTTTTAAATATATTTATAAAAGAACTGGAGTACAGGCCAGAGTTGCAAGAGAGTGGGAGAATTCACCAGAGACAGAGCAGGAAGCACAACAGGCCAATCTGCTGAAATACACTGCTAAGGGGAGCAGCGGGCAAGTCAAGAGAGGTCTGCTGTGCCATGTGGGTATCGCCCTGGCCAGCCAGGAATGGAACCCGCACTGCAGAGTTTGAGGATAGCTTCACAGTGCTACACTCAACCCGATGCACCAGTGGGGAGGACCCCTCACTTGATCATTTTGTATGATCCTTTTAGTGCATTGTTGGATTCAGTTTGCTAGAATTTTAAGGGTTTTTGAGTCTGTATTCATTTGAATGTGTATTGTCTTTTGTTGTTGTTTTTGGCTTTGGTATTAGTATAATTTTGGCCTCACAAAATGTATTTGGATGTATTCCACATTTTCAATTTTTTTGGAAGACATTGAATAAATAGGCATTAGTTTATCTTTGAAGGTTGGATGGAATTCATTTATGGGGCATCTCTGGTGGTGCAAGGGGTTAAATACAGCACTGTGAAGCTATTTGCAGTGCTCTCCACAGCCTCTGCAGCACAAGTTTGATCCCCAGCCTTCCAGGAGCTACCCGCATGGGGCAGCAGACCTCTCCAGTCTTGCTCGCTGCTTCCCTCTGCATTGTATTTCAATCAGTCTGCCTGGTCTGTTCCCACTCTGTCTCTGGTGAATTTTTTCACATCCCCGCACCACTGGCCTGTACCCCAGTTCTTATATGCATAAATAAATAAATCTTTAAATAAAAAATAATTCATTTATGAAGTTATTTAGTTCTGGTTTCTTTGTTTGCATGTGTGTGTGCGTGTGTGTATGTTTGTGAACTATTGCCCTGTTTTCTATAAAGAGTGATTAATTGCTATACATATATATCAGATTTTATAAATACATTTGAAAACACATTAACTATTCTCCAAGATTTACCTTTCCAAACTACAAAACTGTAATAACAGACACTGGTGTAATATATTGAATAAGAAGTAGCTGGAATATGAAAAAT